ATCAAAGATTATCAGGCACATAAAAAGGAAAAAAAGTATGACCCATAAGGAGGAGAAAGATCAATCTATTAATCTCTCAAGTCAAAACTGACACAGGTGTTAGAAGTAGCAGAGAAAGATATTGAAACATCATAAATGTATTCCATGTGATCAAAGCTAAATACATACATAAAAGATATTAAAAGGCAGAAATCAAACTTCTGAAGATGAAATCTATAATGTCCAAGATGAAAAACACATTGGATGGGGTATCAGCAGATTAGACGTGGCAGAAGAAAATGTTAGTAAACTTAAAGGTATAGCAATAGAACTATCCACAATGAAAGGCAGATAGAAAAAGGGGGGGGGATCAAACCCAATGAAATGAGCATTAAGAAGTTACAGGACAACCTCAGCTGGCCTAATGTATGTGTGATTGGAATCCCAAAGGAGGCAGAGGCAGAAAAGTATTTGAAGGAATAATATTGAAAATGTTCAACATTTAATGAAAACTACAAACCCACCAATGAAAGCAGCTCAGCAGATCCCAATAGTGGATTTGCTGGCCAATGCAGTAAGGAAAACAAATACAGAAAAATAAAAGACATCTTGATTGTAAGAGAAGACATAAAAATGTCTTTTTTTGAGGGCGACATGATCATCAATGTAGAAAATGTGACATTATCTATTAAAAAGCTGCCAAAACTAATTAAGTGGATTTAGCAGTGTTATGGGATACAAGATCAGTAGTTAAAAATCTGAAGACCCTGAGACAAAGCATCTAATTATGCTTTATTGCTAAGCTATGGGAAAGACTCCTCTACTTGTCTTTTGTTTTGTTTTTAATCTGCTCTGCCACCTACTCATCAAAAGGAATGGTCTATTGAATTGAGAACTCTTTTGTTAGGTGACATGTAACCAGTTGGTTTCTTCATCATCCCACTGAACTGAGTGTGACTTCCGCCTGTGTCTTCCCATAAATGGCTTAGTTCTCCAAGTTGTTTGGCTTCAGTTTTCTTGACTTGGTTTATAGTCACTCTTCTGCTTGTTACCTCTCCATTAGTCCTGTCCTCTTTGAACTGCCCAGCCCACAATAATAACAGTTATATTTGGCTCAAATGGACTAGGCTTGCACATTTTGGCTAAAATAATTAGAATTTCTTATAGTCCTACACTGCTTACGGCTCTAGGTCCTTTTATCTTTTTCTTAACACATTTCACTCTGGATTTTTCATTTCAGTATTTTGTTTGTAAAGAAAGCTGTAGACTGATTCCACTTTTGATTATTATTCTTTTTTAATTTCATGTAGGAAATTTATAGAAATAACATTGAAAGCCTAATGATTTATCATCACATCTCCAAAAGAAAAATCAAAGTAGTTCCAAGAAGGGTATAAATGGCTTACAGGGGTTTTTGTTGTTGTTGTAGTTGTTGTTGTTTTCTTTAACCATTTTTTTTTTCACTTTGAATATAATATTGGGCTCTGGGCCAAGATATGAAGGTTTATTATAGAACTTGGTTGTTTATTTTCATGCAAAATAGATATTTTATACCAGCATAAAAAGTTAGAGTTGTGAAGAATAGTCCTACCTGGAGTGGCATAAAATGGAAGTAGGATCCCTATTCAAAGAAAAAAAAAGCCTTAGGTCTAATTTTAATGGGCATGAAGATTCTCTCTTGGAATTGAATTATATTGCCTGACCTGAGAAGGAGAAATGCAGATGTGCCATCATTATTCAGAACCAGCATAGGTCTCTGTAGACCTGTGTCCTTAGTCATAGTATCTCAATGCTCCTGGAAGAACTGCTCCACAGTAATTTGTCTGCACCCAGGCAGTATTTTATCAGACATTTTCTCAAATTTTAGTGTTTCATGTTCAGGAAAATTCATAACAGGTTAATTTATCCCAGTTTTGGAGGGACTGTTATTGCCTAGTGATTCTTTGTGGTTTACCAGGAAGCCACGATTTTTAAAAGAGAGATGATTTGGAGGGGCATTATTTGGGTTTTTCTGTGACCATGGTGAGCACCTGGTAACTTCAGAAGCTTTTTCAGCTGAAATTATTTTGGCTGTGTCCTGTAGTGTAGACATGTGGGGAATTCTAGGACAAGCCACAGAAACAAACTCTTTGTTACTGAAATGGAACAGGAAGTTGTTGTATGGACATTGGGTTGCCCTTAGAATCAGTCTCCAGGCAGGCTGGAGATTGGGCAGGAACAGAATGAGGTGAGCCCACTAGAGCCAGTCAGCCCAGGAGCCAGTCCTGAGAGAGTCCTGCTGCTAGTTCACCTGGAGCCTGGATGCTGTTGTTTGCCACTGCCCCGCTGGGCCCAGGCTCTGCTGCACCCCGGAACCACTGCTGTGAGATGAATGCTCCTTCAGCCCCATTCCCGTGCATCACCAGCCTCAGATCAAAAATCCAGAGTACGTGTGGCCAGTGGTCACACATTGCCTCCTACCTGTGTCCAGGGGTCTGCCTCCACCGAGACTCAGAGTGGAAAATTCTCCGAACACAGGAAAATGCTGTAGATCCCAGGTAGACAAAAAAATGTCAAATGTTCACTACAGGCAGGGCTAGTCAAGCAGCTACTTATGGGCTGAAATAGAGCTAACGTTGCTTGCTAGAGAAACTCTGGGCTGGTTCTTGTGGTCCATCTGAGAGGCAATTCAGAACTGAGGTATTCTCTTACTTAGCAGGAATGGACATTTAAACCCTTGGTTTTGCTGTGATTTTGTGTTTGATTTTCTTTAATTTGCTGTTCCTGATAATGAACTAGCCCTGGAAAATGTTCTATTGGTCTAGTAGAATTCTGCCTTTATACAGTGAATACAAACATTCCCTGCTGTGTTTATTTGAAATAGGAGCAGGCATTTTCTGTATTTTAGTGGCATATGGTGCTAAGATTTTATCATACTTTCTTATAAAGAGCCAGGAAACTTTCTCTGCTTAAAAATGTGTGTTTATAAACAATAGGCTTGCAGTGAATATTCCCATCTGTTAGGTGAACATAATTTGTGTAGGAATTCCTATAATAGGTGGAGTACTTTGCAACTTTTTTGTATATTTTTTCCCTGGCGAGACATTAGACTAAAGAGATGGTACAAAACAGCATATGCCTAATATTCAATTTTGTATCTGCTCCTCCCTGTGGTTTGAAAACACTGCTATTTTTGTGCATTAGTACATAGGATTACTACAGAAATTCATAAGAATTTAAAATCTAGGATACTGCAAAAAAAAAAAAGAAAATGGAATGGATAACAATTATATAAATTTGGAAATGTTGCAATGATGAAACTGTTCATGTAGTTTTTCAAATATGTCCTCCCATAACTTGTGTTATTTCATTTCCAAAAACTTTTGTTGACTTCATTTTAACTTAATTTCAAAACTCCTCCTTAGTATAATAATAGTATCTGACAGTTAAAGCTGCTCATTCTTCTAGTCTTGATTTGTAATTTAAATAAATGGCATTGACTTTTTGTGTTCGGTTTGATATTATTCTTATTATCCACACTAATTAATTTTTTGTTTGAGATGAGCCATTCCTCAGAATAGAGTAAAATTTTGAAGATTAAAACTCAGCAATAATTTTCATAAAAGATTTTATTAATCTTGTCATGGGAATACCAAGATGGTTATCAGAGGGAAAACATACTTTGATTAATATTTGCTTAGTGCTGAATTACCTATATTGTCCAAATGTTTTATTCACTTAAAAATTATGCCTTTAAGTTCCTTTTTCAGGTTGATGAACTGGACATACTTGAGTAAAAGGATGAGCAATCAGTTGAATATAAGCGATTTCAAGCTATGTTTGGGAACTGAGCTAATAAAGCATACTGTTCATGGTGCTTTTTACCAGATTTTTAAAAGTTTCTCTGATTATCCTTTTGAGAAGTATTTTTAAATTGAAGATAACTATTAACATCTTTGTAATAAAGGATAACGTTGCTGAGTTTTCTCTTTTTTGGGAAATAGGCTACCATTTGATTGGGTGTTAGCTCTCTCTTTCTTATGGTAGGCAACTTCCTATTTGTAAAAAGTATTCAGGACTCAGCCTTATTCTTGATTTGTTTTTGAACATGGCCTAGAAACCAATTAATGTACTCTCTTAGGTATCATGAAAGGTTTGGGCTCTGGAGCTATAAAACTCACTTCAGTGGTCCTTGGTTATAAATTGTACTTGCTTATGGATTTCAAAACATCCTAAGTTATAAAACTAACAGTAAACCCTAAAGCAGGGCTTTTATGGGATCTGTATCTTCTAACTACCTTTTTTTCTTCTGTAGGATGTTATTGAAGTTTTTAGAAAGGCATTGGTTTGAAGGATGTGATTACTTATAGTCACAGCAGTGGAAAATACCAGTGAAATCACCTTTCAGTTACCCAAAATGTTTTTAAAGTTAATGTCAGGCCATATGCAGAGAAGGAAGCGAGGGAAGTGTATGAATTGTGTTGGGGGCTCTACAACAGTGAGTGCAGAGGGGAGTTGTGTCACTGAGTCATTGCTCTCTTTGCCTCGATGACACCTGTATCTCATCTTGAAAGTGTTGTTGGGATTTTTAGGGAGAGTAACATGACACATTATGTAAAGATTGTTGCCAGTTCTAGAAATAACTTTTAGAGATTCTAAGAGAGAGAATTATAAACACTTTTTGTTGAAATGTCTAGTTTAAGTGTAATGACCTAGAGCTATTTTACGTTTGTCATTTTTTCAACTAGTTATGAGTGTTATCTTTTACATGTATGGCAGTGTGCCTGGTGCCAGGGGTGGAGTGATGAGTAAGGCAGGTCTAGAACCAGCTTCATGTACTACTGGAAGCCTGGCTGGGGAGACAGACACCGATTATGTAATCTCACAGATAAATTGCAGTTGGGGTGAGCATGTTGACCAGAGAAGGATTACATAGACATTAGTTTACCAAAAATAAAATATTTGTTGAGCACTTGTGAAATGAGATGCCAGAGCTGCTCCTAGATATAGAAGCATTAACACTTCTTTTTGGTATTTGGCAGGTATATTATCCCGTCTTTACAGAGGCTTGATGCTGGGTTTTACCGCTGTGTGGTGCGAAACAGGATGGGAGCTCTCTTGCAGAGAAGATCAGAAGTTCACGTCGCATGTATGTGTGCATTGGAAAAGTCTCCAATGATGAATAACAGAAATAAAATGTCTGTGGGAAATGCTGATCAGAATCACTTTTAACCATTGTAGGAATTGAGATTCTGTCTTGGATTCTCTTTGGAATAGAGTCATTGCTAAAGCTTTTGGGAGATAAGTAAACAGCCAGTGGGGCTGGTCCAATGGTGGTGATGGAATGAGGTAAATGCCAGTCCTGGCCACTCAGCAGTCAGGGCCTCCATCAGGCCCTGTGGAAGACAGAAAACAAAATTTAACAGGATGCCTTCTCTTTTATGATTAGCTGCTCTTAGCCTTTATGATACTCAGGTTCAAATGTTTTTCAAATAAAAAATTAAACCCAGTTAGGAAAAAATTTTGTCAGTTCATAATTAGTTCTTTCCAGTGATTTGTTTAGAAATCCTTTAGCTACACAATAAAAACTAGGTGGATAGTAATGTCCTAGATGGGCTTACTGTTAGTTACTTGATGAGTTCTCTGTGAGGCAGACCCATTTCGGAGTAAAAGTAACTGGAGGAGATATCAGAACGCAGAGAGTTTACCTTTAATGTCATCTTTAGCAGGAATTGGAGAGACCAGCGGACTGACGCAAAGCACTTAATACTTCTGTAGTCCAAAGTCTGTGAAGGGTCAAGTCCATCTAAAATGGCCTATCTGCTTTATTATGTTTTGAATTTACTACCAAAATGTGTCTTCATTTAAAAGAAAGCAGAAAGGGTTTATGAAGCTTTAAGTTACTAGGTTATGACAGATTTGAGAACTCCAGAGAGCTCCTAAATTGGGCTGTCACCCAATGATGACAGTGTTTTCTTATTTGTTTTTTTGACCACGGGTAAGGCCTATAGTTTTCAGCATTACTATATCAAACAGAATAATTGCTCATTACTCTACTATTCTGTAATTACTAGTGACTAAGTGAGGTGCTGATACTGTACATGTTTAGTTATGTCTTTAATTAGGAAAGCTTAACTTTTCTGAATTGTGGTGAACTCAATCAGCTAAATCTTTCTGCAGAATAATTGAGAACTTCTATTCAGTGGAATAATTGAAAACATAATTAATAAATACAAAGTTCAGATCAATACCCCAAACATATTTGAATAAATTAACAGCTTGGAATTTATTATAATATATTAAATTCTATTATGTAATATTAAATTTTGGGCTTTTTTGGGTTAATTATTTATACCCTTGTTTCTATCATCTATCTCTGGTTCTTAGATGTTTTCTTCTCCCTCTTTTCTCCTTTGTTTTGATAGTAAATTTCAACAAGTTTGAAAATAACTGTGACTATTTTCCTAATCTGTTTCATTAGTTGGTTTCATCTCTTTCCTAGAGTATTAAATGCTGCTTATTACATGGGAAATAATTTTCTTTGAATAAAAAATCCATTGATAATAGGGATTTTCTATGGACTGTTCCAAATTTTTATATACAGTGAGATGAGCATAGTGTATATACCACATGTGTGTATTACACATATCTGTATCTAAGCATGACATAGACATTTTTCAGAAGTTTCAAATGTTACTAATTTAAAAATTGGCCTCTTATACCTACATTCTAATGACTGGGTTTTTTTCTGTGACGTCCATTTTTTAAAAAAATGCTGTTAACCAGTAGCACAGGGACTGGCACAAAGTCTGCTTGCCCCAAATTAAAAAAAAAAAATGAACAGCGCAATGGCGGCTGCCTGGGTGGAACTAGCCTCAGAGTCTGGGGAGCCGGGGGGTAGGTGATGGCGCTCCATTAGTCTCTGCGGTGGTGGGATGCTTTCCCATAGTTTCTTCCAATATTAAAATCAGTTGCAAACGTTTCATTGTAGTGTTGCAGTGACACAAAGACCATGAAGTTCTGCTGATTAATGCATTTCGTGGGCACTTTGGGGGCACATGGCTCTGCCTCATGCTTCACTTCACCACTAGATCTGCACTCATCAGCATTACTGCTCAATCTCTCTTGTCTTACTGCTTAATTATAGCAACATTGGTGACTTTGTTGTAATATATAGTTATTTCCATCTTTGCCCTCCCCCCCAAAAAAGAGTTTTCTGGAACTTAAAGGGTCTGATTTTTCTCTGCAGATATGGGAAATTTCATGGATATAGACCAGAGGAAAATGGTGTCTCAAGGACATGCAGCAGTCCTCAACTTACTGCCCATCACCAGCTGCCCGAGACCACAAGTGACTTGGTTCAGAGACGGGCACAAGATCATACCCAGCAACAGAATGTAAGTTGCACCAAGCTTTAAAACACAACTCATTACACTTGTTGGCAACACTGACATATTATTTAATGAATTTCACTGTGTCATTTAAGCTTTGAAAAGAATAATAACCTGGTCTGGTAGTCTTCCCCCAGGCCTTACTAAGCAGCTTTTTGGAAGACTTGGCTTGGAAATGTTTAAGCAGTTTAAAGGAATCATCTTGTAATGTTACTCTTTGATAAGCTGCATGCCCAGAATAAAGCATCCTTACTTAGTTGTTAAGGTCCGTTTTTTCCCCTCTTGAATGTACTTTTTGAGATGTCATTGTCATCCCTGAGTTGTGTTTAGCTCCAAGTACTGATTTAATGAGTGCTGGCATTTACTTATAGAGCTGTGGGGTTTTTTCCCCTCTTTTTACTGAGCCATGTTTGATACTACTTTCTCTGACAATAAAACAGTAATTACCGCTTATTTCTCTTTACCCTTTTATCCTGCCGTGACAGTTTTATTTCCCTTCATCTAATTAGTGGTTCGCCCATCTATTGCAGAAGAGTTGCTTTGTGATTAGTTAAGCATTATTTCAAGGTGTTCCTGCCTATCCCACATTCAAGGTATTTATCTGATGCCAAACAGATTTTTTTCATTTAGAGCTTTAAGTGATTAAGAAGAACATTTGGTATATGTTTCATAACTGGGCATTTTGCAATATAATTTAAAGATAATATACCAAATATAAACATTTCAGGAATGAACATTTCTGAAAGAATCATGAAATGCTTATAAGCTTGGGCTAAAAGTCAAATCCTTATGCCGTCGGATGGTTGCACTCATACAAAAATTCATGAGAAGAAAATGCTTTTGTTTTGTTGTGTTTTTCCAAAAAGGATATATATATACACATATAAGATAATTTGCTAAATAGGTTTGAAATGTAACTCTGAAAGTCACTGTAAGGTGTAAACTTGCTTTCTCCCCTACCTGCCCATCCATGGGGTCCCTTCTGTAAGCCAAGTATCATGACTCTTCTGCCTGGGCATCTGAACCTGCTTGACCCCAGACCATTCTTAACCTTATCTAACAAATGTTTCTATTCTTGTTATTGGTACAGGAAAAATATTGAAGTGTATAAAGGCCATATTTAAAAATTTCAGTGAAAATACTAATTTCCTTAGAAAATGGGATAACTGCTTTCCTTTTTATTTTTTTAAGAGTTGCTTGGGTGTCCACATTTATATTGATTCCAGTGACACTAAATGCTTCTTGAGGTCGGTGAAACAAAGAACAGGGGTCAATTTTTCATTCTTTTAGAGGACTGTTAGGCTGAACAAAAGGCAGCTGAGGTAGACTCTTGTGAAATATTCTGGAAGGTTCTAGCATTGAGCACAGTGTGGCTGGGCCAATTTGGGATGAATGCTAGGGAAGAGTGGGTGCTAGGGAGGGTGGGTAAATTGAACTAAGCTTCCTCTCCAACATTGGAGCTTCTAATTAATGTCAATGGGAGCACAATCCGTGGTGGAAGGATGAGTTTAACTCAGCAGCAAGCAGCTATATAGCAACTCACTTGTTGACTTGCAGTCTAGCCATATTCACGAGGCAGCATTTATTCAAGAAGTATGAAAGGAGATAGAATGAAATAACAGCTCTTAATTTTATAAGCTTTTCTTTTTTTACTTGCAGATTCTTGCTAAAGACTGTTTAATTCCTGGTGAGCTACTAATGTAAAGATGCTAAAAGTAGGCTTTAACTTAGTGTCCTATCAAACAAATGGTTTGCGAAGCTATTGATAAATCTCTGATCTCAGTAGAATGATATGCCGGTAATCTTTTTTTTTTTTTTTTTTTAGGAGATGAGATGAGATGAGGCTGGTTATGGATATTTCCACATTTGCAAGGCCTTTTGTTTCATATTTTCCACCTCATCATCACCCCCATATTTATTAAGTACCTGCTGTGCAAGATGTCATAAATCAGTGCATGTGTGGTTTTCTTGATAAGTTTATACATCATTCAAAGACACATTGCTTTTTACTTCTAAGAAACTTTGGCTTTGGATAGGAGTTGGGAGGGTATTTCTGCATGGCCCCTGCCCAGACGGTTGGCAGACAAAAGTCAGATGGCATTAGCTCTGTTCGGCACCACCAGAGGTGTCATTTAAAAACTGAAACGTTTGGCTCAGTGTTTCACTCATTCTGAAACGGGTCAAAGCTTCTATATCTGCTGTAAGCTGGTTATCTGAGGTCAGTTCCCTAACACAGCTGGGGAGATGGTCCTTTGCCACGGGGAGGAGGAGCCTCATCTCGCCAGCCCCACCTCCTTACTATTTGCTTTTAAAGATTTTATTTATTTATTTAAGAGAGAGAGAGCGTGGGGAGAGGAGCAGAGGAAGAGGGACAAGCAGACTCCGAGCTGAGTCCCGAGCCCTACGGGAGGCTTGATCTCAATACCCTGAGATCATGACCTGAGCTGAAACTAAGAGTCAGACACTTAATGACTGAGCCACCCAGGCACCTCACCACCTCTTCCCCGCCCCCTGTGACCTTCAGAATGTGAGCTTTTGGCTTACAATTAAATGATTTTTTTTCATTTTCAAGGGAAGCAATAATTCTAATATTTCCTAACTTGAAAAGTTAGTTGAATAGCCTATTAATAATTTTAACAGCAGCTGTTATTTATTGAGTACCTACTTTAAACACATCTTCCCTGATACTCATGGTTGCCTTCCGAAGAAGTGTAATTAGTTGTGCTTCTAGAGATCAGACTGAGGATTGGAGATGTTAACCAGCCCACCCAAGGACACACAGCTGACCAATGGTGGAGCTGGGGTTCCACCCCAGGCCTGTCTGGCTCCGACTCTCATGCTGTCTTTTGCATCACGCTAATTCTTTTCACTTTATTTTGCCGAACCTTCTTGGTGCTTTTGATTTATTTTTCCATATACTTCTTATATTCCTATTTCTTCCTTTTCAGAACACCAGCCTTCAGTTTGAAATACTACAGGTTGCCATGAGCCACAGGCACACACAGACACATGCTCCCACATAGCCCTGAGTGTGCCTGCAAGTGTGTCATTTATCCATTGTATTGGGTCTGTAAGGCCCTAACTTCAGAAATTTTTGACAAAAGAGAAGGCAGACATGGTTTTCTGACCAAGGCATAGGCTTTATGAAATTCAGAGGCCTAGTGGGAGATGGGGTGGACATGATGTGTGTGTATGGCACAGGCTGGGGGGCAGCAGGAGGTTAGAGGGCAGTTGTCCTGTGCAGACCCAGCACCCTGTCACTGGCAACCTCTTTGTTCTTGAGCTACATACTTGTTGAAGGAGGAGGCTTACATTGTGTGGCAAAAGGAGCAGCAAAAATCCATCACCGTCCCAGAAAAGTAGCTGAAGTGAATGTCCCCGTGGTGGACGTGAGCTGCCTCACATTCACATCAGAATGAGGCTAAATGAAAAACCCACAAAGTTCTGACTGCAGTTTGGGCTCCCCCCCCCCCTTCACTGAGTACTTAGGGCATCCCACATACCAGGTACTCTTCCAGGCACTGAATATGCAGCAGGAAACAAAAGCAAGTCCTTGTCCTCCGGAAGCCTGTCTCCAGAGGACATGCCAGCTGGTGATAATAGGAGAAAATGAAGCAGGGGACCGAGGGGAATGCAGGGGTCATGTGGGTTGCTGTTTCAGATGTGGAATCAGAGAAGGCCTCTCGATAATGCCCTCTTTGAGCAGAGGCTTGAACAAATCAGGGGAGGAGGCCTGGGGGTAAATCTGTGAGAAGAGCACCCGAGGTAGGGAAAAGGCCCGTGTGTTGGAGGAGCAGCTAGGCTGGACCAAGGGAGAGGGCTGGGGGTGAGGTTCCTGAGCTGGCTAAGCGTGATTCCTAGATGCTGGTTACTTAGCCAGAGTGAGGACTTTGGCATTTGCTCTGAGGATCGGAGCAGAGCAGCAGCATGATCTCCCTTGTGATTCTTGTGTTAGGAGTTCTGTGAAGAATGGACACAGGGCAGCAGAATCCCAAACGAGGAGGCCCGTTAGGGGTTTGCTGCAGTAGTTCAGGTGACTCAGACCGAGTGGTTTGGTTTGGGGAGGGGTGGTGAGAAGTGTCATATACTGATATATTCTGAAGGTAGAATGAATAGGGTTTCCTGCTGGATTAGATGTGAGGTATGAGAGAAGGAGAGAAGCCATGGAAGACTCTAAGAATTTTGGCCTTTGCAACTGAGAGGATGGACTTAACATTTCCTGAACAGGAGAGATGATTTGCGGGCAAAGCAAGTTTTGTCTATATTTGGGGGGGGAGTGGATTTTGCACGTTTGAGGTGCGTGGTAGATGGTCAAGAGGATCCAGTCATGAGATAGTTGTTTATAGCAGACTCATGGTCAGCAAAAAGGTCTAGGCTAAACTTGGGGATTGTTGGTGTGTTTGTGATTTTTAAAGCTCTTTAATGCTCTGTATAAAATACCTAAGTCAGTAAGTGAAGCCCAAAGAGTTCCATCATATCAGTTGAGACGCTCTTGGTCACAGAGGATGACTCTGGCTGAGCTAAAAGACCATGCCCTGGAGTACTTAGAGAACTACAGAACCAAGCCAGTAGAAGGACCAGGAGAAGGTGGGCACAGGGGTGGGGGTGGGGTGCCGGGACTGTGCTCGAGGCCGAGGAGCAGGGAATGAGTCAGCACTTTAATGGCTTCCCAGGGATGTGAGGTCCTAACTCCTGGAACTTGTGACTGTGTCACGTAACGGGCAGAGGGGGAGGAAGGCTGCAGAAGCAGCAGGGGACTCGTAGGCTGGGAAGGTGGGACAAAGGAGGAAAGGCGAAGTCTTCTTCTGGCACAGTTGTGTTCAGTGCCGGTGCCCCTGACCGGCCCGTGCCCGCCGCCGGCAGTGCTCACTCTTCTCGCCTTCAGTCATGAGCAGGTGAGGGTCCCAGCCCTGCGTGGCATGGGTAGGTCTTTTCCTCCGGTAGTTTCAGCGTCCTCTGGGTATTGGCCATCAAAAACATCCTTGTTCTGAGAACTCTGTCTGGCG